TATAAATATTTGTTGTCATAAGTTTTTAATTTAATCTACCCGAGCATTACATCCATATAATAGGTTAGAAATTTCTATCGCGAGCTAAAAAACGGACGAAATCCTAGAAATATTATAAGACCTAATTTAGTCTATGACTAAATGACTAAATATGATACACGGCTAAAATCCCTAGTTTCTACCGTTAATCGATTACTTATAGGGATTACCCAAAAATAATCTATAATAATTTATGATAATTCCTATATTTATTTAATTACATCTAAATTATTACCGCGAATTGATCTCCTATAGATATTACTAAAAATGATCTATAGCAATCTATAAGGATTCATCTAATTGTTTAATTCGTAAATAATTAGTTCTATAATCAAATTCTAGTACTTTAGGTATTTAAATAGTAGGAGTTCACCTAACGATATTTTCATTAATCCTATAATCAAATTCTAGTTATTTTAAATTTTCTACACTTCCCTAATCTCCCTCTAATTTCCTATTTATTTCCTTTTTATTTTTCTTTTCTTCCCTTTCTTTTTTTCTTTTCTTTTTCTCTCTCTCCTCTTTTTCCCTCTTTCTCTTTTCTCTCTCTCTTTCTTTCCTCTCGGTTTCTCTCCTTCTTTCTTTCTTCTCTCCCTCGGCTTCTCCCTACATCTCTCTCTCTCGGCTCTCTCTCTCTACCCGGCGGCACGGCAACAAACAGGGGGGGCAGCGGCTCACCGACGGCGGCGGTGACGACGGCGCACGGCGCGGCGCACTTGGGCGGCGGCGCGGAGGCACTAAAGCGGCGGCACGACAGCACGAGGACGGCGGCGCGGCGGCACGACGGCGGCGGTGCGTGGAGAAGGGGAGAGGGAGGGGAAAGATGGGGAATGGGTGTGGGGAGGCTTGGGGATGGAGGGAAGGGGTTTTTATAGGGCGTGGAGAGGAAGAAAGAGAGGGGAAGGGGGAAGAGAATGAAACGACGGCGGCGCGGGGCGCGACGCGGCGGGCGCGCGGCGCGAGGCGACGAGACGGCGCGCGGCTAGGGGTAGAGGAGGGGCTGGGCTAGGGCCACGTCGAACACCTGGCGGCCGATGAATAGTGCTCTTTTTCTATTAAACTGATTTTAGTGTATTTCCCATATAAATTTGATTCCAAAATTCCTAATTTTTGCATATATGCATTTACTCAACATGTGTGTTATTCCAACCAATGGATTCACCCTAGATTAATATTACTCATATATTATTTATATAATTTATTTGAAGTCTTAATTAGGGTTAATTATCGTATTTAAATTCAATTGATCCAAATATGGTCGCGACAATATTTTATTTACTTCTATCCCCACCTAATCCTTTTTTTTAATTTATATTCATTTTACCAATTTATTTTTAGGGTTGATTTCTAATTAACTATCCTTTACTCACGATTAATAAACTTCGAAATCAAAATCAAATAAAATGATCGAACAAAATCAGCATGATGCAATTTATTAAAAAGTTTTTGAAGGCCCATATTTCTAGAGTTTAGATTTTTGTCGGTCGAATTTTCAGGGTGTTACAGTGTTCGTCCCGTCGTGAAAGCACGTCCGCCACCACATTTGTGGAGCCCGGCTTGTATTCCACGACAAAGTCAAAACCGAGGAGCTTACTAGCCCACTGGTGCTGAGGGACGGTGGAGAGGCGCTGGTCTAAGAGGAAGCGGCGCCCCCAATAAGTATGGCCGCCAATGACGCACCGCCTGGACGAGGCCGATCAATTCGCGTTCGTAGGCGGCGAGCTTGGCGTGGCGCGGCGCGATCGTCTTGCTGAAGAATGCGACCGGCCCGGCGCCTTGATGAAGCACAGCGCCCGGACCTGAGCTCGATGCGTCGCACTCCACAATGAACTCCTTGTTGAAATCCGGGAGCTGGAGGACTGGAGCTGCCGTGAGTGCGTGTTGTAGTTGTCGAAACGCCGATGCCACTGTCTCGGACCAGTGGAAGCCTTCCTTCCGCAGTAGCGTCGTGAGGGGCGCGGCGATGGTGCCGAGTCGCGGATGAAACGGCGGTAGTAGCCCGCCAAGCCGAGGAAGCCCCGAACTGCGCACGCATTTTTGGGCAGCGGCCAGTCCAGGACGGCCTGGATCTTGCTCCGGTCCATGGCAACGCCGGCGCTTGAGATAACGTGTCCCAAGTACGAGATGGAGGAGAGGCCAAACTCACACTTGGATCGCTTGAGGCGGAGTTGGTGATCCTGCAGTGTCTGCAACACGGTGCGCACGTGGCGAAGGTGTTCCGACCATGACGAACTGTAAATTAATATATCGTCAAAGAAAACCAACACGAACCGGCGGAGGAACGGAAAGAGGACGTCGTTCATGAAAGCCTGGAATGTGGCCGACGCATTCGTCAAGCCGAACGGCATGACCAAGAACTCAAATAGGCCTTGGTGCGTTCGGAACGCCGTCTTGTGCACGTCCTCCGGGTGCATCCGCACTTGGTGGTAGCCGGAACGCATGTCAAGCTTGGTGAAGAACTTGGCGCCTCGCAGCTCGTCGAACAGCTCCTCAGCCACCGGAATCGAGAACTTGTCTTTGACGGTCTTGTCGTTGAGGGCGCGGTAGTCGATGCAGAACCTCCACGTGCCATTCCTTTTCTTGATCAGTAGGGCCGGGGAGGAGAACGCCGACGAACTCGGGCGGATCACGCCTTGCTGTAGCATCGTGTCGCACTGGCGCTCCAACTCATCTTTCTGGATGTGGGCGTAGCGGTACGGGCGCACCGCGACGGCTGAGACGCCGTGTTCCAGGCGGATGCGATGGCAGAGATGGCGCTCAGAAGGTAGGCCTTGTGGTTCGGTGAAGAGGTCCTGAAAGCTGTCGAGCAGCTCGGACATGAGTTCGCCCGTCGCGCCGTCGATGGTGGCCGCCTAGAGAGGTGGTGCAGGTGCGTCTATGCTGGTCCAGATGACGCGATTGTTGGGTGAGCCGAAGGCAAGGGACTGCTTGGCGAAGTCCCAGAGCGTCGGTCCGAGAGAGCCAAGCCATTGGGCACCCAAGACGACGTCGTAGCCGCCGAGAGGAAGCGCGTAGAAATCGATGACGAAAGTGTGGTCGCCGATGGTGACACGCTGGGACGGAAAACAGCCTGGCGAGGTGATGCGATCGCCGTTTGCAACTGCGACGCTGAGGCCGTGGCGCGGTTCCAGGGGAACACGGGCGCGGCGGGCGGCAACGTCGCTGATAAAATTATGTGTGGAGCCGGAGTCGAGGAGGGCGACGAGGTCCGTTGCGCCGATGCGGGCCTGCACCTTGATCGTGTTGAATGTGGGCGTGCGGACGCCGGCCAGAGCATGCAGCGAGATGCTAGGCTCATCTAGCGTGAGCGCATGCGCCGTCGGTGTTCTCCTCAGCTTCCTCTGGGAAGCTGATGACCTCGACGACGAAGGATTTCTTGCAACGATGTCCCGCCACGTACTTCTCGTCGCAGTTGTAGCAGAGGCCCTCGGAACGGCGTTGGGCCATCTCCGCCGGCGACAAGCGCTTGCGAGGGAGAGCCGACACCAGGGGCTGTTTGCTGGTCGATGCCGATGACGCGGCGTCCGGCGCCGTAGACGCGGCAGATGCGGCGGACACGGGCGCCGGCAGGGCAGGGAGCGAAGGCCGTGGTGTGCGGCCAGAGCGAGCCGGCACGGGGTCCGTTGTGCCGAGTTGAACCCGCTGCTCATACGCCCGGGCGAGCATGATCGTGTCGTCCAGTGAACTCGGCCGGCAGAGAGCTACATCTGTCTTGAGGGGATTGACGAGGCCTGCCGTGAACAATTGCACCTGCTGGTTCTCGGATAGTTTGGCGTCGCGGCAAGCCAAGGCGAGGAAGCTATTGATGTAGTCGTCCACTGTGCCGGTGCGCCAAAGTGTCGTGAGTTCGCCGAGCGGGCTGTCCGTCATGGGTGGCCCAAAGCGAGTGTGCACCAACTTGACGAAGCGCTGCCACGATGGTTCGCCGGAATTGGGTTACAATCTGTAGTACCATAACTGAGCATCACCGAGAAGATGCAAAGATGCATACCAGACGCGACGTGACTCCGGTGTCTTCTGGCCACGGAAGAACGTCTCACAGCGATTCAGCCAGGGAAGCGGATCGCCTTTGCCGTCGTAAGTTGGAAACTCCAACTTGGCACGAGGAAGAAAACTGTTGTCGACGGTGGAGTCGTCGCCCGACTGCTTGTCATTGTCGCCGGTGGGTGGCGGAGCGCCGCGCGGCGCGTGCGTAGCGGACCCCGACGTCTCTGGCACGGGCGACGAGCGATGGCTGGCCTCGACGCGCTGGACGGCCAGATTGAGGGCGCGGACTTGCTCGGAGTACTCGAACGCGGACGCCTGGACTTGTGTGACGCGGTCAGGCAAACTGCTGAGCTTGGGCGCCAGGGGAACCAAAGGTTCGAGGACGCTCATCTTCCTGGCCAAGTCTGAGATTTGGGCCGCCATGGATGTCAGGTTCTTGGCGATTTCGTCGAGCTGTGCTTGAGTGGAAGCCATGGGAACGGAACCAGAGAAATCTGATACCAAGTTGTCACGGACGAGGAGATTGGAAGGAGGATTGCGACGGAGGAAGTATTTAAAGGCTGTAACAGAACGTGGTCCTGGACCTCGTCGGCGCGGAGGAGCCGTGTTCGGCACCGCACCGGCAAGGCAGGAACTGATACTAGATTAATCTGAACTTTGATTGATTACTTCCAACGAAAGCAGCTTACAATTTATAAGGGAGCTAAGGGATAGAATCCTAACAACTCAAGAGATAAAGATGACTAACAAACTCCTAAACTGAACAGACTAAACCGATTACTATTCCTCGTCACGGTTGTGTCGGCGGAACTCTGCGACGGCGCCGTGCACAATGCAATCCCCACATGACAATCTCGGCAAGCAGCCAAGCACACCCAGGAGCATAATGCTCTACCTGGAGTCCTGGACAGACCAGCAATGATGAGGTTACAAAATCACGCACCCACCGAAAAAACTGGCACAAGATTAACATATTGGGGAAAAAAATGTAAAGAGGTAGACAGGTCCAACTGTATGTCTGCAGATAATTTTCCAATTCCATCGGTTTACCACTACAGACGCCACCGCGAGATACAAAGCTTCAAGACACTGTTTTCAAGTCACAAGCACCACATGCATGACAGATAAATATAACTGAAAAAAGAAGACGGTACATGTCTTGCGCAATTGCAGGTGTTATGCTGGAACAGGGTTACAAGCTTCTATCTTGTTTCTTTAGGTTAAGAAATCCATCACATTGCGTGATGGCTGGATGGCGGCAGGACCAAGGGAACGAAAAAGCTAGTAAGGGCGATATCGCCGGCCATGACTCCCTTCGCCACCTCTGCTGCCACCATCCCTCCGGTCACCCCGACGCGGTGGGGGCGGAGGAGGGATTCCACCTGGTTGTTGCCTGTCAAGACATTACAAACAGAACTGTTAGGAAATGAAGATGTATGGTAAGACTTGTTTGTGAGTTGTGACTCTAGGACAGCATTATCTTACAGAACATATCCCAGACGACCGTCAGGGAGCACCATTGGTACCATCCTCATTCCAGCTGGTGCTGGTCCTCTACCATATATCATAGGCTGTAACAAAAATGTTGATAGAGACAATGACTAAATTGTCAATATGCAGTGGTGGATGCAGGATTTCTAGCATGGGTATTCAGAGTTACTTAAAGCATATTTCATGGAAAAGGACAGTATATGAACTACCAAAATCAATGTACAATAGATGACAATGCAATTTAATTTAAAGGTGTTACAAAATCATTAAAGAAAACTACTCCGTCTGTCCCAAATTATAAGGCCTATATTTTTTTTACACGGTCTTCAATAATATACTTTGACTAGTATTTTATTCCATTCTATGATCCCAACAAATATGAAATTAGCATCACATAGAAGTACTTCAAAATATAAATCTAGTGATATAACATGCATAATACTTAGTATAGATATGGTTAGTATGATTATTAGTCAAAAGCAACCAAGTTTGATTTTCCTTAAAAAGGGGGCAGCGGCGCCCTATAATTTGGGATGGAGGGAGTATAATTTAGCCCCACAATTAACAAACAGCTCATATGTGCGCTTTTTTAGGTTGGCACAAGTAATAAAAAGTAGATGGGAATGATTGGAGGAAGGTTGTGATAGATTGAAAAAAGAAAGTGGGTGAAGGAGAATGATATTAATTAGTTGAGAGGAGGTAGGTGGAGAAATAGCTTCATTTTGGGACAAGATACTATGCTATAAATAGATATATTTTGGGACGGAGGTAGTATCTAATAACTAAATGGAAAGTTCATGCAAAAAAATCATGATCCATGTATAAAAGAACATTAACAGACTATCAATATATGTTGACTAATCTTCAACAGACTCAAGGCATTTTTCACAACTTCAGAATATGATGCTTTATCATCATTAGACAACACTAAGAACTTCATCATCTACATACAAATCAAGGGAGCATGTGAAGTGAACAGTCTATTGGATTGCTTTGATACACCGTCACAGGTCAATGTTAGTGTTCTTACAACATGCCCTGATGTGGTTACAGATCTTTCTATTTTTGTTTTGGTGTCTACAGTCCACAGTTTTCCATAAAAAAACAATGTACCATACTTTGATTTCACATTTACGTATCAACAAAGAAACTTCGAATTTCGAATCAAGATGCACATATTACAGAGAAGATTAGGATTTAGAATCAAGACGCACATGCTAGCTCCTCCATCTACCTGCATGTCCTTGTACAGGATCCAGAGATCAACTAGTGCGCAACAGGCACACTACTTGCTCAGCTGCTCCTCCTGGCAAATGCGACGTTCTGCCACCCTGGGCACCTGTCAGCTTTGGCACTTGGGACCGCAGTAACCATGCCATGCCTGGGTGACCGTGCACCCATGCTGCCAGCTGGGTAGCTGGAAATGGGGAATTGAGGAATAGAGATGCTGGATATTGGTTAACTAGGGTTTGGTGTTGGGCATTGTGGGCCACTGGGCCTTATAGGCAGACTGTAGCTGAAGTGGCGATGCTCAAGAATGGGTCATTTTGTGGACTGAGGGTTTAGTGGATGGACAAAAAGAGCCAGAGAACGAAGCATTTGACCCAACAAGATTATACATATGTATTATACCTATTTATATGTGGATTTTCTCGCAGAATGTGTTTGGTATTTAGGTATACTAGGACCAACCCTACCATAAGCACCACTTGGTTTAGTTTGGTTTACCTGGTTGAATCCAGGACCACCACCACCATAAGCACCATATGGATCTCCCATGTAGCCACCATAAGGAGGAAGAGGAAAATTTGGAGCTCCTCCAGGCTTGAACGAGTGATCAGGCTTCTTGTCTCCCAATGGCTTGGCCATGGATACTTCCAGCACTTGCCCTGTGATTCAGTTAGCACAAGATTATTTCTAATCAACCATATTTCGAAGTTACTAATATACAGAGTAGTGGTGGTAACTGCAAAGGTCCCATAAAATCATTGCAGCAAATGATCAAATCACATCTGCTTTCCACACAAAGCACCTACCTAGATTAAGATCAAGTTTAATAAATAATGATAAAGGATAACAACATGGAGAAAACATTACCATCAATTTCATACTTTTCGCTTCCTTTAACTGCCTTCAATGCACTTGATCTTTCAGCAAAATGAACAAACCCAAAATCTCTCTTATTCCCAGCCTTAGCAGGCGGTAAAACGACTTTTGTGACCTCTCCATGAATTTCAAAGATCTCCTTAATCTTCTCTTTAGAAGCATTCTCTGGTAAGTTCTTCACATATATAGTCTTCACCTGTAAAAGAAAAGGCCAATCAGACAAATGTTCCTAGGGCTCAACAAAACAAAATTATATGACATTTCCAAGCTAATTATCTCTATGAATATAAAAAAATCAACAAGCTAAGGGTGCCTTGTACGAATAGGACAATCCATCCATAACAGAAACAACCTTGCACAGGTTGAGCCAGCGGGCAGTGGTATTGAATGAGTAGAATAACTTCCAAGTCAAACACTCAATCTAACTAGTATTTCAGATTGCTTTAATCTACATACAACAAAGTGTCAGATTGCTTTAATCTACATACAACAAAGTGTTGTCAGTTATACAATCCTTAAAGTGCCATGTAGAAACTAAAATCATGATGCAGCTGCATCCTGGAAATACATCAATAAAATGATGGTTATTTTGGTTCAACAATGGTAATCAGTAGTTCCAGATAACAAAAACTAATGTGAATGAGAAATGATTAACATAAGAATTACAAAATATTTCATGTTTCTTTGATCATTTGCCAGTTCCTTTAGCAAATTATGGCACAAAAGAAACAAATCCAATTCCTCTTTTACAAGTGAGTTACCCCAATAAAATAGCAATATAAACAGTTTTTTTTCCCAAGGGACCCTAGTTCAATTTGCAGAGCTGCAGTGCATCCGTTGAGCATAGAAAGCGCTGACTTTTCATTTACAGTGTATACCTGGGCAGCTGCAGAAGAAGAATCTGATGATGATGAACCCTTAGGTTCAGCCCAGCTGACGGTCAACTGGCTACCATCAACCTTAAAGTTTGGTGCTGACAATTTCTGCTTGGCATAGTCTGCACAAGCATGGTTATAATACTCAACAAAGAGGAACCCACGGTTACGGCTTGGATCATGTAAATCCTGCAGGACCAAAACAAGGTCTCAATTAGCAAATTCGGGGCCTTCCTAGTGCAAAGTACAACCATGAAATCACAGACACACCTTGAACATCTCAATGTTCACAACACCTGGGCCCTTCCCCTGGATTATGTTTCTCAGCTCGTCCTCACTCAACCCCTTGGGTACATTGCCAACAAATAGCCTGTGCTTTGCCTGTGACAATGAGCACCGCAGTGTCCTCCCCTGCACCACGGACCATACCATCCAACATAAGTGCACCATACGTGATGCAATTAGAACCTCTGTGGCAACCCAGAGAGCCACAATACCTTGTGTTCTTTGTCATGCAGATCCTCAATAGCACGCTGAGCCCCATCCTTGCCGGTGAAGGTGACAAATGCGAATCCTTTGTTCTCCTTCGTCTCTTTATCCTTCATCAACCTCACCTGTTGTCATCCAGAGCTTCAGGTTATTGCACTATGTGTTACAGGGATGCAAAAATTACTGGAAAAGCCTTAGATCATTCAGATACCTCAGAAATTTCGCCAAACGCCTCGCATAGCTCATGGAGGTCATCCTCGGTGGTGTCACGTGGGAGACCACCGATGAACACCTCCGAGCCCTGAGGCGGCAGAGCGAGCAACTCGTCCCATTTCCTCTTCTCCTCCTCGTCCTCGGGCCCGGCATCGCCGCCAACCTTGTCCATCACATCGGCGCCTCCTTCGCCACCCGCGGCGGGATCCCCACCCGCACCCCCCGGCCCTTCCGCGTCTTCCCGACGGCCGTCGCCCTCCCCCTGCCTCTCATCGGGATCCTCCTCCTCCGGGTCGTCGGAGTCCTCGCGGCGGTGGCGGCGGTACCCGTCGTCGTCGTCCATGATGTCGTCGTCCCCCTCCAGGTCCACCTGCTCCTCCGGCTCCTCCGACTGCTGCCGATCCGCCATCCCAAAACCCTAACCCTAGAAACCCCCAACAAGATAAAAGAAAACGTAAATCCTAAACCACCAACCCACAAAAAGCAACACAAATCCTCAAAACAAGAGACGAATTGAACGCGCGTGCTACAGATCTAACGCATCATCAGGATCAAAAAATTGAAAAAAAAATAAAATAAATCGGTACCTTTGAGACGGAAAAAATCTAGGGAAATTCGAAAATCGCGGCATGATGCGAGAGAAGAAGAAAGAGAGCGTAATTAGCCGTAGTAGCGGTGTGGATTTCGAATCGATTCGATAGAACAGTAGTAGTATTGAGATTTGAGAGCAGTGGATGGAATTGGGGGAAGGGAGGAGAAGAGGGGCTTACTGGACTGGAGGAGGAGAGTGGTGTTTTGGATGGGGAATTTGCGACTCGACCGCTCAAACGGAAAAGGGAAGACGCGTTTCCGGCTACCTTTGTATATATAGCCAGCTGCTGTCAGAAGTGACTTGGGCCGTACGGCCCATCGTGCTTCATTGCTTCGTGCCAAAACGGGCCGGGCCGCGCCAGCACGGCCTCTTCAAGGACACGGCCTGTAAACGGCCCAATATCCAGATGGGCCTGTTCGTGTGGACTGCAAAATCGTGTCACAGGAAAAGGGAATAGTTTTGTAATTTGAGGATTCTGTCCTTGATTCTAAGCATATACCAAGAAAATGAAGTATCTCAAAAAGGAAACACAGAAGAGAGAATCTGAGTTTAGGTTGTTTCAGACAATAGACTCATTTGCCAGAATGAGTTTTTGTCTGAAAAAATAGAGTAAAAGACTTCATACACTGTCATTTATCATATCTGGAGCTTTTGTTTAACGAAAAAGAGAGAAGTGTTAGTTTTTTTTTTTTTGACTCCTCAGTAATGACAACTTAGTTTTCATCAACTTTTAGTTCTTCCTCGAGTACAGTAGTATCCCTAAATACTTCATGTCCTGTTTTGCAATATTCAGAATCATATACTCTCTCCGTATTTTAATGTATGACGCCGTTGACTTTTTAAACAACGTTTGACCATTCGTCTTATTTAAAATTTTTATGCAAATACAAAAATATTTATGCCATACTTAAAGAATATTTTATGATAAATCAAGTGACAATAAAATAAATGATAATTACATAACTTTTTTGAATAAGACGAATGGTCAAACGTTAATCAAAAAGTCAACGGCGTCATACATTAAAATACGGAGGGAGTAAGTACTTATTTTGTAAAGATCAGATGATCTAATTAACTGGAAATCTGGAAAGTGTTGACCCTTAAGATCAAGTTAGTTAGGAGGTCAGTATTCTTTTACTGAACTGAAGCATTAAACAAGTGGCTGTAAGACTGAACAAGCATCAGCTTCTTCAGACGACATGGTGCGATGTATTCGGAAAAAGAACAGCAATTTCCATCTTGATTCTTGAATGTAATAACTGTAGTTCATCCAAATTGCATGCCGGATCCTGTACATCACTAGAGTACACCATCCATCAGCCCCAAATAAGGGAAAAATTTTGGGTTTGGTTGTCGAATCGGATATACGGACATATATTTGAAGTATTAAACGTAGTCTAATAACAAAACAAATTACAGATTCCGCCAGAAAACTGCGAGACGAATTTATTAAGCCTAATTAATCCATCATTAGCAAATATTTACTGTAGCACCACATTGTCAAATTATGGCACAATTAGGCTTAAACGATTCGAAGCTTTTTGTGGTAGGTCACCGAAGTACCCACTATATACTTGCGCATATGTTCTAGCGCTTCGACTCTTACCACTTCTAGGAGTTCGAGTGACACTTCACATCCATCTTCGCCACCCCTCGGGCCGCCCTCCGTTGAAGGCAAAGGAAATCACATATGAAGATGCACGGAGACTGCGGCGGCTGCTGCTGTACCATATTATACACTTTGATTTTTTTTCCTATGTTAAGCTTATTTAATTTTAATTAAATTTATAACGAAATATAGCAACACCTACAACACCAAAATGCTTTTATTAAATCTAGCATTGAATATAATTGGTTTTATTAAATTGGTTTATTTTGTATTGAAAATGTTACTATATTTTTTCATAGATTTGATCAAATATACAGAAGTTTAACTTAGAAAAAAGTTAAAACATTAGAGGGAGTATAATGCTAGTGCCACCAATAATGGTCATCGGACTCCAACCGTTCAACGCCCATCATGGTCGGGGAAGTCAACAATAAGTCATCCCGTGCTGCAAGGTGGGTAGTGGCGATCTACCTGCCTTCTTAGTTTGATCTCTATGTTAACGTTCCTTCGTTAACGCTTACGCCTACATGTGGTGCCTGCTGGCAGTCATGCTGTGAGAAGTTTACATGGTGTTGGTCTCCGTGGTGACGATGTATATTGGATCTGTTCTTGCTGGACACGCCCGTCGCTATGAAGTGGTCTGCATGTTTGCTCTCTTTGAAAGAATTTTATAATAAGTGGTTGTAGCTTATTTGAAGTAAAGGCAGGAATTTAATCCATTGTCCAAACAAATTCACCGCATCATCTTCAAAACTATATTGACATCGATATCATAACCTAATCATGTGATTTTTATTATAATATTAGTTTTTCTTGTTGCAATGTATGAGAAGATGAATGAGCGAAGGGTTGACTTGATACATTGTAATGCACGGGCATTTTTGCTGGTGTGTGGGCCTGTTTGGCACGTCACCACCTCTTTCTCTATCTCTCGCTCCAGCTCATCTTGGAGCTGGAGCCCAACCAAACAGTTTCAGCTTTACACAAAAAGGGATCGGAGCTAACTAGAGTGCTTTTGTAAAATAAACTAGAGAAGAGGAGCTGGTTTCGGGCTACTCCACAACTCCACTCTAGATCCAACTCCTGAAGTTAAATTTAGGAGTTTGAGCTCAGCCAAACGGGCCAATGTATAGAAATATAAAATATTTTGAGAACAAATGTTAGGCATTTCCTTCTTGGCACATATTGAAACCCAGCAATGCATAGGTGGTAAGTCAATCTATCTCTGTAAACTATGCAAGATTACACAAAAGTCTTTGCAAGGATAATGATTTTTTTTAACTTTAGATATATATAAGCAATGTTATAGTGCATGCACTTCAATGAAACATTTTCAAGTCACGTGCTGCAATCAAAACAACCATAGACAATATATAACATGACCCGATCGAGTTCCACACACCAACAATAGTTATAACATGACCTGAGTTCCACACAACAACAATAGATTACACAGTTTTGTACTACAGTACACAAAAGTCGCTTCAAAAATTACAGAAAACATAAATAGGAGATACATACTTGAAAAACACAATTTACTTTAAATGAAATGACACTGATTGATAACATTGATTATATCATGCATACCACAAAATCGCATACCACAAAATATATATTTCTGTTCGTAGATCCTTCCTATTGTCCTCCTTCTTAGTTAAGTGGAGTGGCTGGTGCAGAAAGCGTCGCACTACTACTTGCACTGATGCTAGCACCAAAGTTCTTAGGAGTTCCCTCAATAGTAATCTCCTCACAGCGCTGAGGACTTAGACTATAATTTCCCTATCCACACTTCCTAGATCTTCTCAGCATAACAAGTCGTTCTGCTACCTCCTTCATATCAGGTCGCTCTTCAACCTTTTCTTTCAAACACTCCATTGCTAATCTGCCTATTTCTTCTAGGATTAGGATATCTTCTTGTTTTGCAATCTCCTTGTCAAACATTATCCTCCCACTGTTCTCTTGATCATAGGCATTTTGGAACTCAATGATGAGGCTACAATTTTCACCATATATTGTTGGCTTCCTACATATGAGCTCTAGCAGTACAACTCCAAAACTGTATACATCACTCTTTTGTGTTAAATGGCCGGTCTTATGGAATACTGGATCTATGTAGCCCATGCTTCCTACAACAAACATGGTGAAATCTTTGTCTACAGTAAGAAGCTTAGATGTCCCAAAATATGAGATCTTGGGGATAAACTTATCTGTTAAAAGTATGTTGGCTGGCTTGACATCACCATGTCGTATGGTACGACTTGTTGATGAGTGCATGTACCTTAGACCTTCAGCTGATTCAATTGCGATGTTTAGGCGTAAGCCCAACGGGAGAGGGATGTTGGCATCACCATGGAGAATGTCTTGAAGATTTCCCTTAGCGGCAAACTCATACACCAACATTGGAACATCCACTTCCAAGCAACAACCCAAAAGCTTGATAATGTTATTATGCATCATTTGCGATTGGATGATCACTTCATTTGTGAAATCATCCTTTCGAGCTTCATTTACCTCAATTGACGTCTTCACAGCAACCGTAGTATTGTCTTCAAGAGTCCCTTTGTACACCTTACCAAAGCCTCCTTGACCAAGAACTTCTGAATTATTCTTTGTGATTTTCTTTAGCTCATCTTTGGAGAAAATCTTGACATTGTCCACTTTCTGTAGCACTGAACCACCATTCTTTTTGAAATATTCATTCATTTTTCGCTTTTGGTGCATCATTAGCGTGAAAAGAACAGCAACAATTAGGAAGGAAAATCCCAAAGTGATGCCTACGAAAGTTAAGAAAAACTTATTAGCGAACATAACAAATCCATATATGAGTTGCAGTATTATTTTTTTAACAGAAATATGAATGAAGGATCATTTTATTTGATAAATATTATTATGAATAACTAATGTTATATTAATATTGGCATGTTCAATATATCCTGTAACTAATCTTTTTTATTTATACTTAGCAGGGACTTGAAGTTAAATAAGGATGTTTGAATTGGCCGAGATGAGTAAGTTGGTAAAGAAAATAAATAAGGGATGGTTATGATTACTTTAAACCACTTAGTTTATATTGCTCCAATGGTTTACCAACAATATTGTCGCTTTCTACAATATGCCACTGGATTTATCAATTGTTTCTACAATATATGAACATTTAAAAAAAAATCAAAATACCCTTGTAGACAAGCATCCAAAGGTTGACAATTGATTTATCTCATTATACGTTTAAAAAATTATGAAATTTTTGGTGTAGTTTCCTTACACAACATAGAATTTTCTGTTTATGTTTCAAAATTTCTTGCATGTATTTTTTGAAAAGTCTTTTTATGTGGCATTAGAGAGAAATAACTTACACAAAAAAATGAAAATATTTTGTGTAGCACATGAAAGATGATTTGTACAGAAATACAACACCACAGAAAAGTATACTATGTGAGACATAACAGAAATATTATATTTTATAGAAAAATAATAAAATGTAAAAAGCGTGAAACTTATACAAACTTATATTCTTATATTATGTGCTAGGAGGCTAATTTTTTTAAATTGTTGATTTTTTTTTTAGTTTTGTCAATTAACTGCCAACCCTTATATTTTTAGGCATTATAAGAAATTCTTTGTTTGGCTGAATGGTAAATTGTAGAAATAATTGAAAAACATAGTCGATGGGAAATCATTGAATTGGTGTAAACTCAAGACATATATATAGTATATTATTTCATATATTTTTTAAAAATTTTGAGGTGCATATGTACCTAGGGCAAGCCTTGCTGCAAGAGGGAATTTTGAGCTGCACTCTTGTTTCTTGGGGCCTTCACCACTCCACTGGTAACCCACACGGCAGTGGCATTCATAATCCCCTGGGATGTTGTTGCAGACACCGTAGCAGGGATATTTCTTCTTGTTGGACACATCACACTCGTTGATGTCTGTGCATATAAAAGGGAGCATATATATTAGTTGTTAGATCAACTGTTACTAGTAAAAAAAGAATTAATTTTCGTAGGCTTTGGCTTCTTTTTCCTTTTTCTTTTTGACAGGAACCTAGCTCAAAATGAAAATCACCTGTCAAGATGGCTTAGGCTGTCCCAGGATTATAAACCATCTATGAAAACCTATTTTTTAATTGGCAAATTCTTAAAAAACCGCCTATAAAATTTGTAGCTCTTCATGAAATCTACATTGAAAGTTTTCTTTCCATTTTAGATAGTACATTTAGATGTCTAAATATTCGTTACAAACTCTTCAGACCTATTTTTGAAAATGAACTTTTGAGTATTTCAAATGATCTTGGATGAAGACATTCTATATTAAAATTGTAGAGCATAACTAGATCTACAACTTTGTACTAGTAAATATTTTTATAAGCTCTAGTATCTATTTTTGTATAAGTGGTTCTTTAAGAAATCAAATTTTTAGGAACTCATAGAAAATTCATTTTAAGTCCTATTGAGGTTAACTAAAGTTCTCCAAGATCGTTCTAGTAAGACTTAGGCTCTGTTTGAGTCTCCTGAAGATGAAGATGAAGATAAAAATGAAGATTAAGTGTTTTACGTAAAACAATGTGGTAATAACTTGTGATTAATTGAGTTTTAATTATTATAAACATGAAAAAATGGATTAATCTGATATTTTGAACAACTTTTATATAGAAAATTTTCACACGAAACGCACTGTTTAGCAGTTTGAAAAGCATGCCACAAAAATCCAAAACTTTATCTCCCATGTGTTGGGTTCTTAAACATGACCTTAGTAACTCCCTCCGTCCCAAAATATAACAACTTCGAGCCTCCAGATCTTTATCCCAAAATATAACAACTTCTACACCAATATTCTCTTCTCAAGCAATCATAATCTCCTATCATTCAAATTTCCCATGGAGCTCCACTTTTCATCCAAACACAACCGTCCCCTATTTAATTCTACATACTTTCTTAATAACCATATCCAACCCTAAATATGCTTATATTCTAGAAGGAGGGAGTAATATTTTTCTTAGAACATTTTTTTTAGTATGGTCATTCACTAATGTCACGTTAGATAACATATCAACTCATATAGAGGTAAATGATAAGTAAACAATTATACTAACATAAATATAAATGAAAAATATTGTAAGGGTCATATATAGCTTTGGTCACCTCATTTGAACTTAAAATGAACTTTCCATAAATCTTTAAAGTTTAGACATTTTCAAAGAATAACAAGTTTTTTCAGATGGACTTCCTAAAGAAATGTCATTTTAGACGATTCTCGTATGGAAAGGCTCGCAAAAATCAACTTTTGAGGCGGTTCTCTTGAAAATACCACCCTTAAAAATAATAGCACTACTACAATAGGAAAGGAGTAGTATCTTGATATATATGAAGTCGTATGATGAAAAAATCTTTTTATGAAAATTGGAGAGCTCTACAACTATATAGTTGAATGTTTTTTCATTCGAGACTTTTTACGGGTCCTGATATTCGTTACGAAATCTCAAATCTATTGTTGAATAAACAAACTTTTATGTTTTTAAATGAACTCAGATGGAGCTGTTCCCTATATCAAAATTGTAGAGCTCGATGTGATCTACAAATTTGTGGTTGATAAATTTTCCTTTTGATATCATTTATAGTGCAATTTATATATTACAAGTTTTAGAGAGGCGAAGTCAAAAGAATAAGCATCTCTCCCACATGCACAAAGTTCTTTATAGGCGAGATGGTAAGGACGCTACTTGAAGAAGAGGTCCCCGTTCAAATCCTATATACCACACGTGTGCAAAATTACGCAACTCGTGAAACTTGCGACATGCGGCCGTGTATATATAGTTGCTTACTAAAATACAAAATATGTTTTTCCTTTTTTTTGCGCCTAAATCAAATAGCGAAAAGATCAAATGAAACCTGGTAGATTTTTTTTAGATAATGAATTTAAACACCAACAGGGTTGATGTACACAACGAAAGGTAAAAATAAAGGTAAAATGGTGGCACTATTTAGCAAAACTGTTAGCTAATAAAATAAAAACATTAATCTTACCCTTGCAACCTTGGTCCTTGTCGTAGGGGTTACCCTCGTAGCCTTGCTTGCACTTGCAGTAGTATCCGGGACCGTTGGTGGAGTTGACGCACTCGCTGTTGTCGCTCACACACGCGTACCCAGCCGGTTTCTTCTCCTGCACCTCCAGTGGAGGGCAGGTAACGGAGTCACGGATGGCCCAGTCCAGCCACACCGGCATGGTTCGGTTGAGGTCCATCTTGAGATCGGCGCTACGGAACTCGTACTCGTTCTTGTCGACGAGGAAGGAGTAGTCGCAGGGGCTGAAGTCTACCTGGAAGCCACGCGTCCAGGGCCCGAAGGAGACGACGTTGTCGGTGAGGCCCGGCGAGATGTCGACATGGCAGCAGCCGACGCCGGCGCACCGGCCATCCTGCGCGCTCCGGGAGTCGTTGCAGTAGGTGACGCAGCCGGTGTAGAAGAGTCCGCTGTAGTGGGTGTTGCTGCCACCGCTGTTCCCATTCTGTGTGTAGGACAGGGTGTTGCACCCGATCACAACGAACATGTTGCGGCTGTCGGAGATGCGGTACACGCCGTTGTTGTTGAGGTCTACATCGCCGTAGAACCTCCTGGTGACGTTGTCGCCGGCGTCGTAGCACTTGTACGCCACGGGAAGCATCACCTTCACCTCCGGGAGCTGTTCCACCGACAGGCTCTGCACATGGATGCTGCCGTTGGCGGCGGCGAGGGTCGGCACCAGGTCGCCGTTGCCGTTTCGGGTGTTGCAGGCGATCTCGAAGCCCTCCCCACGGGAGCAGTTGGGGCCGATGCCGAACGGGTAGGGAATGTCGACGTCGCCGCACCTAGCCTGGCAGCCGGCAGGCCGGCCGGTGACGACGCTCTCGTCGCCGGCGGCGGAAGCCAAAAGCAGCAGGCTGGCAAGTAGCCAGCATGTGGCCATCGACGTGTATACGTTTATATACGACGTAGTAGTATTAACTCGTTTCTTTCTTTTTCCTAGCTTGGTTTGAATCAGCTGGAGTAGCTAGCACACTCGCCTATGTCCCCCGGGCATGTACTTATATAGCAGCCGATCCCATCCATCATCCAGCCTGTTCTGCAAGTTGTCATGCTCTTCCTCATATTATAATTCCTCCGTCCCAGATTCCCTTGAGTACTAGTAATGCTTGAGTACTAGTATTGTAATGCTTGAGTACTAGTATTGTAAGTGGCACTACTTAATTAGATCCTTAAAGTATGGTAAAATATATTCAGTACGCGCTCTCTATTTGGTTTTATCAAGAGGCCCTTTCGTAAGTCGTCCGATTAGTTGAAAAACAAGACCACTTGCAAGAAAAAAAGGACCATATGCTATTTGCTACATGTCATGTCGATTCGCATGCATGCTATGAGGTTAATACCATTACACTAATACATTTTATTTTTGGTACAAAATCTTTGATAACTTATATGTTTTAGACTGCATATTATTTGTAAGATCCGTAGCAACATACCGTTAGAAGTGTTACTTCCATATTTTTAAAAAGTTACTTTCCTCCAGCAGTGTAGTTACTTTTAATATTATCATAAAGAGTTACTTTCTATATGACGCCATATTTTAATTTTTTAAAAAATATAACACAGTGATTACTTTAAATAACGAATATATGTATTTACTTGAAAATCTTTTCTACACTTTGCTTGTAAATTTATTCCACATATTTTTTTTATTTCAACTCAGTCATAATGTAATTACTTTTAGTGCTAAAGAGAATTACTTCTATTATATAGCTAAGTTACTTCTGCAATGTAAATATAAATTACTTTCAAATTAATAAAATGTTTGAATATATTAACCGTTGGTCTCGTTTTGTCATATATTTTGAGTGGAGTACAATGGTGCAAATATATTTTTAAAATAATATACAGTTTAAAAGATAAAAGTTATCAAAGAGGTTTAGAAAAATGTGCACTATTGTTTTTTTTAGCTAAAGAGGATTCATATGTGAGATAGAGTGGTCGTTGCTTTAACCAAACTAGCGACCGGTAACTGTGTAGTCGTGTCCTGGCTTGCGTGGTGTAACGTCCCGATTTTCGTTCGGGATTAAAAATCATTAATAATGCATTTTCTAGAAATTAAATTAAAGTTAAAGCAATTTAATTAAGTGAAATAATGGGAGAATTAAAATTTTTCCTTAAAAATCATTGGCTGAGGATATTTTGTAATATTCTTTGTGCCCTAAAATACCCTCCGGATTTTTCCATGAATTTTTGGAGCTCAAAAAATAATTTCCATGAATTTTTGGAGCTCAAAAAATAATTTTAAAGTCACAAAGTTCATTAAACTCATTTATATAAAAAGAAAACGAATTAAATCTTCTCCCCTCCCTCCCTTGGGCTCGGCCCAAGTCTCCTTCCCCCTCCACTGGCCGCTCTCTTCTTCTCCTCCTTCCTTTGGGTCGTCAGCCCAGCCGGCCTCTCTCTCGTGCGAAGTTCGTTTCGCCTCCCTCCTCTACCCGAGCCGCCAATAGGTGGGCCCCACCTGTCGGGGTTATCCCCTTCCTCCAACCACCCAGCCGCCATGGCCGGTCATTGCCACCCACGTCCCGCCGAATCCGGCGCCCTCCCGCTCGCGTCCTCAAGCCCAAACCGAGTGGAATCGGTTCCCCTCCATCTCCCCCACTCTCCCCCACTTCCCCCCTCAAAAATCGTCGGCCGTTGTTGCTTCGATTCCGCCATGTCCGGCCATGTTCTCCACCTCCGAGCTTATAAAAATGCACCCCGGCCTCCCTTCATCCGTTTCCTCAACTCGCCGCTCCTTCCCGCGCCTCCTACCTCCCCCAGTCTGCCGAGCCCACGCCTCGCCACTTGTGCTGGCAGCTCCGCTGCATCAAGCCCTATCCCAGCCGCTGCTCCGCTCCACCAAACTGCCGCCTAAACGCTTTCTTCCCTGTGCACCTGAGCCACCACCAACTTACACCACCTCCAGCCGCCAGCCACTGCCGCCCTAGTGGCCGCCGCGCTGCGCCACCGCCGTCATCGGCATCGCTGTGCCGAGCTCCACCCCGGCAGCCGCTCCTCTGCCTCCAACCACCACCAAAACACAACCCCACCGCAAAACCCACGCCGCCACTGCCCTTGCCGCCTCCGACCAGCAATCATCGCCGTCTTAGCCGCTGTCGTCGCTCGCCATCACCTCCGTCGGCTTCGCCGTCGAGTACCGCACCTCGGCCACCTCCTCGCCCTCGTCATCCACCGCTGGAGTCCTCTTCTCCCCGTCGAGGTGAGTTTTTTCCCCGTCGCCGGCCTCCGGCCGCTATTTCCCACCGCCTTGTGCCTCCCCTTCCCCGTCTAACCCCTCCCTTCTCCTCCTCAGCTCGCGGCCGTGCCTGTCCGCCCCTTCCCAAGCGCCACCCACCGTCGTGCACTTGGCGAGGACTCCCACCTCCTTCTCCTCTTCACCGGCCGCGCTGCGCTGCCGCTGCCCACGTCATCGCCGCCGGTGGCCGCGCCGCCGCGTGCCGTCGCTCGGCTGGGCTGTCCTGAGCTGTGCCCATGCCATGCCGTGCTTGCCCGTGGCCGCCCGATCGGCCGCCCTCACTAATCTAGGCCATCCACGTGTTGCCATGGTGCCACCCCATGTCGGTGCCCTCGTGGCACCACGTCGGCCTTCCCGTCTGCCGTGGTCACCACGTGGCCGCCACATGGTGTGCCCGCGGACCGGTCCACCGTGCACCCGCTTCCCTTGAGCCACCGACAGGTGGGGCCCGCTTGCCGGTGCCACCAATTCCCCTCGGTGACGTCATAATTCACATTAATTGTGCAAATTATAGAAATTCATTTAAAATGTCTCAAAACTTCTAAAATTCATAACTAATTCATACGAACTCCATATTGGGCCATTCAACTTGCAAAATTCATCTAAAAATGAGCTATACATGTTTGTTTACTTTTTATGTACTGTTTACTTGGTTTTTATTAGAGTTTTTTCTCATTTTGTGTGCCAGCGCGTAGATTCCGCCGGTTCAGAAGTTTGCTTTCGCCTCAGATAAGAGTTCAGAAGATTGTTTTGAAGAAGCAAGGCAAGTCACACATTCCCCTTAAGCATTTTTAGCCTAATTTATAAATGTTTTATCGTTTACAAATAAATATGCATGTTTTTCTAATTACATGGGAATATGGTTTACCTATTGTTGGCTGTTGTTAAACACCGATTCTATACCACCAACATCTGCATAAAGTTCAAATAATAAAACATTCAGCATAGTGATAGGTGCTTAATCTCACATATTCCACAAGTGTTGGTGTATATTTGTATGCAGATGATAAACCCTGAAGTTGAAAGGAAAATCAGACTAAAGTGAGAAGAAACATGTATCCATACAAGGATGGGTTGTGAAATTCCTCAAAATATCAAAGACTCAGCCCAAAACTCCGAGAAATGGATAAAGGAGGACCAGGGGAGGAGATGGGCCGAAGGCCAGGCCAGGTGGGCCCAGCCCAGGTTCGAGCGAACCCCTTGGTTCGGCTGAACCAAAATCTCAGCCGTTTAGGCTGGGGTTTGGCGTGGACGGTCCTGGTCATCTCCTGATGGCGGTTGCTGGGCATTTCTGACAATTCGCATTGTGTAAGCGTCATACCTACCTCTATATAAGGAGCTTCACTCTTTCACTCTCACACACACTTCCAAGCTTGTGCTGAATTATAAGAGGCTCTATTGTACTATATTGTATACTAGAATAGGAAGAGATTAGAGTAGAAGAAGTCGGATGAATTCTGGAGTTGTCGGTAATCTTCTCTCATTTCTCTTATTCTGTTTATTACTCTGAATTCAATATAATATTCTTCTTGAGTAATTTAGATTTATCTCGTGAGAATTATCTCTTGGTTAGTTCCTAAATAGCATACGAGACAATTGTTCACTATAGTTCATTTATTTATAGTGATTGCTTTAGTGTTTGATTGGCACTAGAGTAGTTATTAATTGCGTAGACGCGGTGTCTGGGTAATTAATCTTCAGTGGTTGCTGCGTATCCCATAGTACATTTGAGGTAGGTGTAGAGGTGGTGACAGCCCTAGACACTATTTCTCTAGACACTGTTAAACTTAAGTATTGCGTTAGGATTAAATTTAAGCTTTCCCTAGACACTGTTTCTCACTAGTAAATCTACTCTATCCTGGCCTATCATTTGCTTGCTGTCCTTGGATGAACCGGAGGAAGATCTGACCACATATGCTCCCTTGGATTCGATACCCTTTGGAATACTCCGTAGGGGAAGTGCTACATCGGTATATCTGTGCCCTTGCGGATTTTATCTGTGATCCAATTTGGAGGTAGTTTTGCAATAATGCACCCGACCACAAATTTGTCGGGTAAGATACACTTCAAGAGTTCGAGTTCTTTAGCCAGTACTCACCCAGAAGCATTTCATAGCTGTCAGCCAAAGAGTGACCCTTATCTGCAATCTCTAAAAATGCACACCGGTGAATTTATCCGGCCTCAGTGCATTGGCAAAACCAGCTTACGAGCGACGGCGCAGCACAGAGTAGGAGGCAAACCCAAAACAAACAAAACTGAATTTCCCGTAGCAAAACAAAACTACAAAAGGAGGCTGAATCTGCGCAAGGGTGAGGAACCAATTTTGCGGACCATTCGACGCGTACGTTGTGCATGCGCGCCACTTGCCCTGCCTGGCCAGGCGAGGCGAGCGAGCGCGCGCATGTGTTCCCCCTCTTCCCTCCACCTCACATGCTTCATGTAGCTAGGAGGGTATCTTCCCTTTTAAGGAGGTCCCCCTCTTCTAGAATAAACAAGGTGGTACTAAACTCTCTATGCATGCCATCCCATGAGCTGGTTTTTTGTGATTTTCTAAAGAATTAATCTTCGAATGGGCTAAGGCTCATCTATTAATTCCAATAAGTGCGAGACCGCACGGTCTCGTGGAATGGAAGAGCGAGACCGTTCGGTCTCGCTGAAGCAATGAGCGACACTGTCTAACGGCTCCTTTTCATTAGTGATTAATTACTCAATTAACAATTAACTAAT